GCTAGAAGTTTTTTTGGTAGAGGAAAGTCTCGTGGAACATCATATGGATCTTCGCGTGGAACATCATATGGATCTTCGCGTGGAACATCACATAGAACGTCATATGGATCCTCACATGGATCTCCACATACTGGAGGCTACAGAGTTGGAGGCTATGAATCTTATAGTAAACCTTCTGCAGGGAGTTCCGCTGGTAATTTAATGTGTTGTATAATTTGAATATAATATCAAACGTAAAATAATATTGCATTCTTTGTTCATAATCTTAGGATCTCAAAATAAAAATATTAATACAGATTTTCTAAAATCTGAGGGTGGGGGAGCTACACGACCAGGTAAATATCATTGTACATATCATATTAAATATAAAATAAAATTTATGAAATGTATATTTTCTAATAAGTTCAAACAAAGCCTTCTGGATCATTATATTCTCCTTCTATTATGCCTGATGCTGTTGTATCAAAACCAAAAGTTGTAACAGAAAGCAAACAGACTTCACCTTATCACCCCTCTGCACCCTCTCAGGGATCTATTGTGAAATCTGCTGACACACTTCAAGGTATAGATAATATAAAAAATTGGTATGGTTACTATTTTTCATTTTGAACATAATATTATAATATTATATCATAATATTATATAGGTCATTCAACAAATCCAGCTTGGAGCAATCCTTATTATAACAATAAAGCAACAGTCCCAACTCAAACACATTCTCGATGGAGCAATCCTTATTCAAATGCTAATGGACCATCTGTTCTAAATTCTCAACCGGCTGCATCAGGTGGTCAACCACTTCCAATTGGTTTCAAAGATCCACAGGCTCGTCCAATTTCTGTTGGTACTCAATTCAATCCATCTGCAAATGGACATCCCCCTTATCCTATACATCCAATGCCTTCAAATTCTATCTCTGCTCCACATTATCCAACAAATTCAATGCCATTAGGGAATCCTTATTCTACACACACCTCACCATTCCATCCAACAAATTCAATGCCATTAGGGAATCCTTATTCCACACACTCCTCACCATTCCATCCAACAAATTCAATGCCATTAGGAAATCCTTACTCTACACACCCCTCTGGACCTGCCTTTAATGTACCTGGACAAGCTCCTTATTATCCACAGCAAACACACACATTTGCACAACCTGCAGCACAGCCGTTTGTACCTGGTCAAACTATTCTAATGATGCCTGGACAACAAGACTCTGGCCGAGGTTTGGGCCAAATGGTCAAGGAAGCGCTTGTGTTTTCAACTATTAATGCGGGAGTAAATAGATTAATAAATCCTCATACTCATCATTACGTAGAAAGCAAACCTGCTGATCCTGCTCCAGCAGCACCTACAACTCATATTACCTACAACAATCAATATTTCAATACTGCACCTAATGACAATGACAAAATGAATTCCACAAATGTATCACAACCAACTAGGCTTCCTACTTCTCCAATAGCGCCCACAAATGTAGGAGTTAATATTCCTTCATCAGAAAACACACCAAACACATCCAATATTCCTACTTTAACTGGAAGTGGAACATCTATTATTGAATCACGTGTAAATGAGAATGTAACTTCTCCAACTGAAACCAAAGTGACAAGTGGCCAAAATAATGTACCTAATAATCCTGCTAGCATAGGTAACTCATTTTATAGGATCTCGGACGATGAACTTTTTAAAATATCAGAAGAACTATTTGCAAAAAATTCGCACGATATATACAAGTACATAAAAATAAATCTACAGACTCGAATTACGTCTTCTAACATAACAACGGATGAAGCCAAAGAATCGTATGTATCCTTTCTAAATAATCATTCCTTTCTAAATAATTTGATTGCTTTTATTTATCAATTTTTTTTTCTAGATTGTTTGAGGTAGATCCAGAGTTATTAGACTATCCATCAATTTATATAACGCGATCTCTATATGATAGCTACGAGTATGATTCCCACAAGAAATTGAATCGCACTTTAGAAATAAGAAAACAGGAGAATCTTCTAATTGATATCTTTTTAAATACAAATGAGATGTCAAGAGCTATGCAATGGCTAGCTGATCGTGGATTTATCGATCCGGACGATTTTGAAAGAAAAGATGTACTTCGTCGAATTTGGTTTACTGTATTTAGCGGAAGTACATGCGGATTCGAACGTGTGTTTACATCTGAAAATTATGGTACAGCCATTATTGGCGTGCAAGATTGGATTTATTTCGAATACCAAGAATCTTTAAAACGCATAGATTACATGGGCTATACGGATAAACTAGATCTTGGAAGTGTAAGAGATTTAAAAAATACTAAAGAGTTATTCCTGATTAAATAATATTGTATTGTCATTTAATATAATTATTTTTTCAGACTGCTTCATTGATAAAATTAAACTTCCAAATGGATGGAATCGTTAGACCAAATGCAACAATATTTGTAGGTACTTTACCTGAACTGGAGATGGCTTTGTACACGATATGCTTTTATGCAAGACCAAACACTCTTTGTCCTGTTTCTCTCGGTGGCACCAAGTTTAACATTTATACTCATTCGTTTACATATTTCGGAACTGAAATTATAGACCTCGCTCTTCCAATGTTCTAATATAGATATTTTATATACAGTAGTTACATATATGTAGAAGCTAATATAATATAAATTACATTGTTCTATACATGTAAATAATGTAATTATCAGCAATAAAAATGATTGAAAAAATAATATTTTATGACACATTTATTAATTTATTAACAATAGCAAGTGATATGAAAGTAAATAATATGAAGAACTTATCATTATAAGTAGAAAATTGAAATTAAATTTATATAATTTTGTATTATATTTTTATTTTATTTTCGTCTGAATTTTTCTTCTAATTTTTTAAATTAATTTTCAGATCTTCTTGTATGGTACAACTTTAAAACTCCAAAATTCAATTTTTCCTGAAAAAATACAATTACAAGTCAATGTCGAATAAAGGAGATCTGTAAAAAATAAAGAGTCATTAAGTATTTGTGAGGTGCAACGTCCTTATGGTTAAAAGTCAGGGACGTGTCATTACCTTGCTCATTGTCAGATTATTCTATTAGATCCCTACTACTTGTGAACATATCAAAGATTAATGCGAGAGGAGAAAGCTTACGAGTCACACTGCAATTTCAAACTGGTTTCAGTGTGGTTAGTATGCGTCGATTCACGGGAAGTCTTAGTAACGAATAAACCGTCGAGTAGCGTACATCGATCATTCTACAGAGAGATTTTTGATCGTGTTATCGATTATAAATTGCAAAACGACAGCTGAGGAAGTTAAACAACAAGAAATATGAACATCAAGCTAATCCTGATTTGCACAATTCTTGTTTTGTTCGTGTTTGGTAAGCAAGTTTCCTTATAAATAGTTTAACCAGTTTCAAACAAGAAAAAAAAAGTATCGTTTTTCCTTTAATGAACGTTTCAACTATGTGGCAATAGATTTAGTTGATACAATATTTTATGAATCGAGCTATGATATATTACGAAGAATTTTATTACAGAATATAATTTACAGACAACCTTGTGACAAGCTTTTTAACAAGAACTGCACGTAAAATTCCTGTTTCTAGACGATTAAACGAAGTGATAAAATTCTAGAGAAAACAGTTCACGTTTATTCGAGAATAAAGTAGTCTATGAATTTAGTAATTGATTCTATCATGAAATGACATCATAAAGCTGCAACCAAACAGATCATAACAAGTTCACCGAGAGTAAATTACTGTTGCTCGAGCATGCACCAATGCACGTGAGCATTATTCACTTGTCTGTTGAATGGGTTTCAAAAGAAGTCGCAAAATCAACTCTTCTAGAAAGTCTGAGCCAGACGACTGAGGCCAGCACTGAGTCACTCTAATGAATTACAAGCAATTCCACGAAAGGTGTTATTCGCTCCGCTGTATGGTCACGAAAATTTAATCAAGTTCCGTGAAATTTACTAGAACATTGTGGTTTCGTGTAAATAATTACCAGTCCGATGTTCAGTCCCAATAATCAACCTCCAAAGATTTACTTTACTGTTCCAAAGTTCTATTTCAGTATTAAATGCAAGATTATCCTAGAACAATATACAAAGAAATTAAATATTGGA